ACTATGCATTTATTTAGGATGAGGCTAAATATCCAGGAAGAGTTTTCATAGCATAAAAATTATGAAGAAGAGGGAAACACCCTCAAGTAGCTTAAAATTTTCAGTTCCTTTGACATAGACCCATTTATGTACAAATAACTACTCTTAGTTGTTTTGTTCTGTTTTTTTTTCCCAGTGCTGTTAACCAAAGTCTCTATTTCCATTTGGTCTCCCATTTTATTTCTCTCTTCTTTCTCACTCCCCAGTTCCTTTTAAAGGTATTACCATTGTATATTCCACATGGTACAATTTGGAATTTTTTTCACAGACAATTGATGATAATGAGTAATTCAAAAGCCATTTGACCGATTAGTAAGTCATTCCCAGATATATCATCTTAAAATGTTCTACATTTTGAAAAGATATGGATGGGACAAAAAAGATGATGTATGTGTCTGGTGAGTTCAGGTGTTCATTCAGATGGGTGAAGAGTGAGATGCAAATCTTCCCACCCTATTCCTCATTTCCTCTCTTGAGTCGACCGTGGGTACTAATTTCTATGTCTTCCTCCTGGAGGGTATCATGTAGTCTCTCTAGTGTGTAGCATATTGTCATGCATATATAAGCAGATAAATCTATTGTAAGATGTAAAATGTAAATTTTGGGATTCTGTGAGGTAGTATTTGTATTTTTTGGATGTTGTGAGTGAAGCTGTTCGTATTCAAACTGTATGAAGTACGGTACTCTACCATTAAGTCTTCACTTTACAAGAGCGTGCTATGGTCAGGGTTTGAGGCACAAAGGAGTTAGATTTTCACATGCGTGCTTCTTTGGTTTGGTAACAGAACCAAGCAACATCACCTAAGAGTCCTGGCTCCCCGGTGTTAAGCACCAATTCACAACACTTTTATAAATGCCTAAATCTCTGCCAACTGTAGAGGTAGTCGTCAGATGTAATTTGACACCTGTTCTTTTCCAGAAAGTCATAGATTAGCCCTCCACCCCCCAAAAAACCTTTTATAAGACTCCTGTTAAAGATCTTTTTCCATCCTGTATTTCCTCATTTTTCAATCTGTTTGGTTTTCAGTTTTCCTTTCCCACCTACTGATCCTCCTCAAACTGCCCCAACAGATTTTGGGTAGATTTATGTTACTGATCCATCTTGCAATCTTAATGTTCTAATTCAAAACCCATGTATTAATGTGCACACTATCTGCATTCCTGGAAAGCTGTTCCAATAGAGTATCCTGGAAAATAACCAGTGAAGGCGCCCGTCACTGCTTTTATGTCTTTAGAATAAAAAGAAGAGAAAAATATTTAAAAATCCCAGACTATTTGGAAGCGTTGTTAGTGTGGGGCTATGAGGAGTAACTTTTTAAGTTCCCATGACCGCTTGCTTCCTATCCCTTATTTTAACTTGAAAATGTCTCCAAACTTACCATTCCTCAGTTTGTCTACATTTAAATTATGTATAAGATTATCGCCCTTGAAGAGGTTTGAGTTGAGGTGGTTCTGAAGCTTCTAGTTAAAAGATGCTATTTGAACCCGGTGACAATTACTTTGATGCTGACAGCTCAGCACCCTCCCCACTTGCTTCTTATTCTTTTGAACCACTGTTGTATGGAAGATGACAATGTAACTTCTTCACTTTTTGTTAAACATTTCAAAGAATTCTGTTGCATTCTGCTTGAGACAGGTCTTTGGTAAGAACTGTGGTGCCTGTCGCTAGTGGCCCAGCACCTGCTCTGTGTTGTCTGCTCTTGGTGATGAGTTTACATTGAAAAAGAACTTTCTACCTGAAGGTTCCTGAAGTCCCAGCTGAACACACACAGTTCAGTTCTGGTACAGTCCATGCTCGGGTAGAGAAGAGCACAGACACTTATGCTCTGTGTGGATAGAAGGAACGAACTGTCTTGTACTAAAAAGTCTCTCCTTTAGCTCACAAATAAGGATCTTGACAGAGGGCTGCCCTCTGTTTTCAAGGTGACTTGTGATACACTCATCATGAACTGTAGTCCATGGTGTAAACTTTCGTAAACTGTATGGATAAAACTTATGCTCAGTAGATGGCCATGTGTTCTGTGAGCATCTGCTCTGTGTTCTAAGCATTTGTGAATTAACTTTGCAGAATTTGGTAGAGATATGGTGCTGGTAGTACTCTAGAATGTGGGCCAAGTTTAAGGATCATTTTTATATTCATGCCTTTTTCAAATTATTACTACAAATCTGAGAGGAAAATTTTAGCCCAACCATAGGTAAGAAAAGTAAAGAGAGGTTAGGTAACTGGCTTATGTTTAACCCAGCTAGTAAATGACAAAGCCTATTTTCTATGTCATGTGCTTTTTACCATACTATAATTTCCTCCTATAATTAATAACACTTGTATACGTTAGAGCTTTACAACAGCCCTGTAATCCCATTAGTGCATTTATGTAGTTTAGAGCACTACAGCAACCCTGAAATCCAAGTAGTATAGTATTAATATTTTATAGATGAAGACATTAAAGTACCAGAAAAATACAACGTTTTGCCTGATGGTACAAAACTATTGAGTTGTAGAACAGAGTGCAGCTTGCACCTACTTCCAGTCCTGAATTCTCTGCTCTTTCTTTCCAGCACACTGGGAGGCTAGTGATTTTAGTACTCAGCAACATCTATCGAGCCCTTACCACATATAATGTACTGTGCCAGATGCTATGACTCAATGCTGAAGAAACACAATGACATGGCTCTGCCCCTTTATAATATAATGGTGAAGTTAGGACAAACACAGGAGAATACCTAACATTCAGTATAATTACACTAGTATAAGCAAAAGTAAACCAATGTAGTAACATAGTGAAGTAGTAACTATGCCGCCGCTAATAGTAAACAATTTGAGGCATTATCTTAGGTATCCGACAGCCTTCTGAGAAGTCTTTAATGTTCATTCCTGCTAGTTTGCTCCAGGACCACACATGAGTATTCATTTTCAGCCTCTCCAGCTCTACTTGCTGCTTCTCCATAGTCTTGAACCATATTCAGGGCTCTCCTAGTTTAAGAGAAAACGTCCTGCCAGTTGCGCCGATTCCCTACTCCCTCATGCTCCTGCCCAGTTTGTCATCCCATCTTTCTCCTCCCTTTCTCATCGAAACTTCTCAAAATGTTGACTGTACACCCTACTATCTGGTTGGTCCTTTTCTCTTCCTTTCTGACTCTGCTTCCTCTGCCTGTCCCTTAGGTACCAGTGTCCCTGAGAGTTCTGTTGTCCTCCTGTTCTTCCTCAGAATATTTCCCATATCCTGCTAATGTACAAATCTTCACCTCTAGCTCCCATTTCTCACCCAGTTTCAGACTGCTTGCCTCGATTATCTTAGGTATCAGACAGCCTACTGTCTGACTGGAGAATGACTGGAATGCTTCAGATTGAACATGTCTAAAATGGAATTCATCGTTTTCCCCTTCCAACGAGGTCTCTTCATATTTTCTTCTTACTTAATGGCATCACAAGTCATCTGGTCACCCATACTGGAAACTGGGGGGGTCAGCCTTGGCTCTGCCTTCCCCTCAGCTCCCGTAATTCCTGCAAAGCTTGCTTTCCAGACTGATCTTGAATCTGCCACTGCTTCCTATCGGTACTGCCGCTGTTTCGCCTCGGGCCCTCATCACCTTGCTTCTGTGTTCTTGCATTGTATTTTGTACTTCTCCCTGCCTATGGTGAGTTTTCAAAAGAATTTGATTGTTGTTTTATTCCCTTTCTTGAAACCTGGTTTCTTCAAGTTTCCTACAGAATGAACTTCAGCCTCTTAATGTAGCACTCACGATGTCCTCTGAACTTCCTGTTTAGATACTCCTCTACTGTTTTCTGTTGGGTCTTTTAGGGTCACTCGTATATACCATTGTACTTGCTCATTGGTAAACCTTTTTCATGACATCCCTTCTTCTTTGAGTACCATTTATCTTCCTTTTCCTGATTGTTTTAGTAAAAAGCTTGATATCTGATAGTTGCAACTACAGAGGTCAATTAGTTGCCTCTATTTTGATTTATATTTAATACAGATCCTAGGCCACCCCACACAAGATAATGTGTTAGCAGGCTGGTCAGGAGTTAGCATGTTGTTTACTCTTACCGGATTTAACCCATGCATAGGTACGGAAAGAATGCTGGAGTTACTATATGTTTGGATCCCTAGCTGAGGTTAGATAACTGCAGACTCCACCCAAACTCAAAACCAAAAGAAATGACATTCTGAATTAGTCAGAAGTCCATTTGTAAGTGACTGGAAAATGGAAAAGCACAGTGGTTTATTTATCTGTCACTGAAATTTCCTGAGATATGCAACCCAGTACCAGGATGGCAGCCCAGTTTCATGAAGTCCTCAAGTACCCGGATCCCTTTCATCTCTACATTGCACCTATCTTAGGGCGTGTAGTGCAGGGTGGCATCTGTTTTCTAGGCAGTAGACTTGAGGAAGAGAAAGAGAAGGAGGGCAGAGCACACTCTGGTCATGTTTTAAGAATGATTCCCAGATGCTGCCATAGAATACTTCCTTTATTTCTAACCTCCAAACCAGAACTTAATCATATACTCATTCCTATGTAGAAGTAACTGTGAGCATAGTTAAAAAAATATCTTACTGTGGAAGAAGAGGAGAATCGGTTTTGAGGGATAAATGTCAAAGGATTCATCCAAACTCTTCAGTCTGATGACTAGCCCACACCTTCCTTTTTAGTCCTTTTTCCTATTACACATGAACCCTGTGCCCCCACCAGAAGTCGTCCTGTTACCCTCGGCTGGGAATGACCGCCCGGTAGCACTGTTAATCTGCACTGCAGTTGTCATGTGCTGAATTGTATTGCTGCCATTTCTCTCCATATGTAGGTTCCCTAAATCAAATGGTCTCAGCACAGTACAAATTCCTGGGGACAGTGTCCATGTCTTAACCAGCCTGCAGTGCCTTAGCCTAGTGCTTTAGAAATAATTGGCTCTCAGTATTTCATGTATGAGTAAGTAATTTTAATGATTTCTTGGTTTCTTGTAGGATTTTAGGGAAAGAAGATGGATCAACCTAGTGGGAGGAGTTTTATGCAAGTATTATGTGAAAAATACAGTCCTGAAAACTTTCCTTATCGCCGTGGTCCTGGGATGGGGGTCCATGTTCCAGCCACACCTCAGGGCTCTCCTATGAAAGGTAAGAAAGATGGGACCTACACATTTATTCATTTATTTTCTGAAGCTTACATAGGACATTAAACCATATACTGCCTTGTTTGCAGAAGACTTCTTTTATTTTGAATGAGTCAAGTTGTTTCTCCCTTGCTACGTTTTCAGCTTTTTGAAAACCTGAAAGACTTGTTTTCTTCCATATTAGCCAAAAGGCATTTTAGTGACACTGATAGGGCAAGAACAATATTTGAGTGATAATATTTCAAAGATGTATTCTTTCAAGGAACTTGGAGTGTGCAAGATAGGACAAGACTGGCCTGTGTACTCTGTGACCTTACAGCCTGTTGGATTCTAAGACATTCGCATTACAAAGATATAATACAAGTCTATGTTGAGTCAAATAAATGGCATAGTGATTGGAAAAGAAATTGAGAAGAGAGTTAATTAGTATGATCAGAAAAGGGTTTAAAGCTATGAGACTTGAACTACCCCTTTAAGACTGTAGACTAGAGGAGACAAAATTCTAGGAGAGGGGTTATGATGTGAGCAAATCTCCAGCTAGAAAGGGGCCAGGTGTATTTTTTGCTTGCATTTTAGCTTGATGTGATTAATAGTTCTTGGAGGTACTTGAATATTGAACAGTGTTTTAGTTCCTGTGTCCAAAGGTTACTGAATGTTTGTAATTTCTCAATACAACTGCCGCTCCATATAAACTGGGATGGTAGGAAGAAGTATACTTTTTACTTGGTCATTTTTTTTTTTTCAGAATCTTTCTCGTTCTGATAAATTTGATACTGAAAAATCATATAATTTGAGGCCTCCATTAATAAAATAGTACCTTTGTGAGTCCTTGTTTTATACCAAATAGGGAAGAGTGGTTGAATTTTCATGGTTATACTTTTTATTAGAGATAGTGATAGTGGTTTTATTGATACATGTATTTTCGAACAAGGCAGTAGTTCAACTACCCCAGTTTGACGAGATTCACTGAATAGTTAAGACTCTGCTACACTTTCTGCCATTATAATTATATTTTTTAAGAAGGCTAACTTTTCATAAGGGATATATGGTACATGGATATGAAATGGGAATGATTCATGAACAAGTATGCAAGAAGGAGATATAGGGTTTCAAATGGATCCACTTAAATGAGAAGGATTTCTTGAATGATACGAACTGAAGAACACGGTGTTTTAGCAAATGGGCCATCTAGTGGTGTGAGATCATTTTCAAAGGCAGCAAAAGGTGAAAATACACAACAGACAGAGGGAAAGGAACTATCCTGAATGATACTTTTGAACTAAATTTAAAAAAGAAAATTGAGGCCAATAAGAAGCTTGTGGTAGTCCAGACAAGAATAACATGGCTCTGGTGTCTGGATGGTTAAGATGATGGCATGGATGATAGCTCTGTTGTTGGTAGTTGACATAAAAGTCCTGTTAGACATGACATACAGCCTAAGGCCTTTTTTGGTGGTATTAGTCCAGTACTTCTAATCTCCTAATTCCAGTTTAGAACTCTGTACCCCTGGGTCCCATCATATTCTGTATTTTCCATCTCCTTCTGTAATGTCATGATTTTGATTCCTGGAGGATGAATGTGTGTAGACAAGAATTGGGCTATTCAGAAAGTTTTGTTTCCCCCATGACTCAGATCGCCTCAACCTCCCAAGTGTCCTGGTGTTGAACAGCTGTGGAATAACATGTGCGGGAGATGAAAAAGAAATCGCTGCCTTCTGTGCTCATGTGTCAGAACTAGATCTTTCTGACAACAAACTGGAAGACTGGCATGAGGTAAATGTACTGCCTTTTGGTAAAATGTAGCAATAACCATTGTATTATTGATTATATTATTACATAGTCTACTCAGTTCTTGATTCTCACTTGTGATTTCTTATTGTCTCTATGTCTCACGATAAATAACTGACTGCTTCACCTGTTCTATTTATTAACTTTGTTATTGCTGATTTGTTTTTCATTAATGTGAGAAGCACTGAGGAACTTTGTTCCAGGCATCAAGAAGTTAATAAGACTACAGAGGTTTAGATTCTTAACAATGTGTAAAATTTTCTACTGTTTCACTGGTGGACACATCCTATTCTTATTCTCTACTACTTCACATTTATTAGTATAAATTGACAAAATTGCTTGAGCTTGAAACCAAGTTATACCAATATTTGTTCTTGTTACTGAAATTTATTTCAAATTCCAAAAATATTTTAGAACTTTACCTTACATTTTTAAGTTACTTTGGTAGTTTGACATAATTTATGTCTTTTGACCTCAGAGTAACTCTAAATCAAGTATATAAGTAAAACTGTGATAACATTCTCTCGTACTATTATATATAACATTCCTACCTGATTATAACTACCTGATAGCTACCCTTAAGACAAGGGAAAAATTGTTCTTCCTACTTGATTCGTTCTCCTGCCTTAATGTAGGCTCTTACTCTTGCTTGGACTATTGGAAAAGCTTCCTAAAGGATTTTCCTGTCTCTGATTTTATTCTTCCTCTAAGCTGTTTTCTACAGTTCTGCTAGACTCTTTTTTTTTTTTTTGAGATATGATTTTATTTTATTTTTTTATTTTGCTATCATTAATGTACTATTACATGAACATGCCAGACACTTTTTAATAAAATGAAATATGGTTTTGACACTCTCCTGCTTGAAATCTTTTAGTTGCTTTTCACTGCCTAGAAACTAAGGTCTGAGCTCTCTTAAGTGTGGCCCTCCATGATGTAGCCCTTTGCTATTTCTAGAGCTTTATCTCCATCTTTAGCCACAGGCCCTTTCACACAGCTCATGATAAACTCTTGACATGAACATCTTCCTTACTTTTATTCATTCTGAATGTACTGCACTGTTCCTCCTCTTATCTACCCTGCTACTTCCTATGTATCTGTCAAGACTTGGCCCAGGTTGCTATTCCTCTGTGAAACTTTCTCTGGCCCTCACTCAGGCAGTCAGATTACTCTAGCGCCTGTGTCATGCTGCGCTGAAAGGATTTATCACAATGTAGTGCAATCACTTGCTTACTTGACAGTTTTCTTACCAGACTATGAGCTTTTTCAAATTGGAGATTTTTGTCTTTTTTTGTCATCAGTGCCGAGGATACTATGTATTCAAATGTTGGTTGAATGCATTAATAAACAAATGATGATATCGTAAGGATTGATCAAGACCATGTGCTCCAACATTTCCTCTCATCTTAAGAAAGTCACTTAATTCTTTAGTGCTTTAGTTTGCTCATCCGTAAGACAGAGTTGCTGAGAAAATTAATTGTTAAAGGTACTTTGTAGGTATTAGATGCTTTTCAAATTCTAAGACAGCTTTTTGGTTTAAGAGAAATCTATATAACCTAGTTTTCTTCAGTTTTTATTTTATTTGTCCATTTCATAATCTTGTTTAATCTGGTAATTGTGCTCCTGGTTATATTTCCTATTTTTATGAGGATGTTTACCAAAATTCATTGAGCTGCATGCCTCTTGATTTGTAAGTGACTTGTTACTGTATGCATGTGTAATGGGTTGTTCAGGAAACAGTCTCTGTACATGTATTAATTAATGGATTTACTTATGTATTCAACTGGGATAGTTCATTGTTTAACAAGTTTCAGTCTGTGCCTTCTTGGTCCTTTGAAACGCTTACTTGGCATGTCTGTTCTAACCACACTGCACAGATGCAAAGAGAACACCTTGTTCATCCACTTTCTCCACAGTCCCCCAGTAATCCTACTGCTGAACCTCTGGTGAGAATTTTTTGACCTGCACGGCAACAAGGCAAACCAAGTCTTCCTCTGCGTCACTGCAGCTCCTGTGGTCACAAGGCTGATTCTCCTCAATTTGTTTCTTTGGGAAATAAAATTTCACAAAGGTTTTGTGCTTTGACCTATGCTTTGACCACATACATAAGCTTTTGCTACCTGGCAGCAACAGTTTACTAGTGACATGGTTGCTTTCTTAAGATGGATCCAAACGCAGAGTTTACACTGGGTAATTCGGTAATTCAGCCTTTTCTCTGCTTAGACAAGGGTCTACACCAAATATTTTCCAGGCTGCGTTGATACATACAGCCAGAGTAGAGTGCAGTTTGTGTGTCCTGTGTGTGCTCCACAGCCTGTGTTCACATAAACCTTTGTTGCTGTTACGCTTCAGATTTCCATTTTCCAGTTTATTTTTGTTTTTATCATTCCTTTATATTTTGTCCTTTGTTGATCCCAGTCTTGTAGAATATATGTCAGAGCACAGAGAGATGGGAGAAATACTGACAGCAAAAGATACTGATTTTATAGGATTGATTAAACTCTTTGCCAGGTTACAAATGCTTCATAGGCCACACTTTTAAGACATTACATTTCAATCCCATTACAGCCCATATATCTGATTACCAAAGAGATCATTTTGTCCCTAGCCATTAACCAGGTTTACTTCAGCCAGTATTTGATATAACAATATGGAACAAAATAATATAGTTTGGCCTTTTTTTTGTTTTGAATGTTGCTAATGTTATGAGTAACTTCTTTTATAGTTTAAACTACTGGCTGCTGTATATCCAGAGACTAAGATAAATATGAGTGAGAAGTATAATACTTTTGGGGGAGGCAAACATTTGTCTCTGTCATTCTAAAATTGGGCATCTATGTGTAAAAAAAAAAGTGCAATTTTTAGCTTTCGACTCAAAGTTTTGACTAAGTAGATTTTTGTCTGACTTTTCCCAAGGTATCTCCTTTTTGCTCCTTTCCTTATCAAAACCATTCTATAAAAGAAATTAAACCAAGTAGGTAAGGGGAGGGAGGAATTCATCACTCAGGTGAGGTAGAGAATAGGTTGGGTATAAATTTACAGATTGTTATCTTATAGAACTTTCCTCATTTTTTTTTACAACTTTGGTTTCCTCCTTTTTAGAAGTCAGAGTAGAGGGTCTCCTATCAAGTCACAGAATTGTGGAGACCTAAAAGGTGATCTCCGCTTATCCCCACTTGCCTGCACATAGCCCAGTGCAGCTGGACGAGTCCTTTTTATTTTTAGATTAAAAAAAAAAGTCAATACACTGACCTAGAAAGTCACTGAATGTTTGTCAGCCTTTGCTATTAGGACATTTTTCTTCCACAAGTAAATTTAACAGTGTAATGAATATAATATTTTCTCAAATTTTATCATTAATTCAAAGTTACTCCAAAATCCTTCTATAATTTCAGCCTTTTGAAGAAAATATCTATTTCTAACACATATTATTTTTCCTGCTTCAATTATTAGACTACAGTCCAACTTTATCTTTTAAGGATATTCCAGGGCTAATGAATCACTATTCTAAATCTTTATTCTCACTGGATAATAGGGTAGATATGGACTATTAAGACTGCATCACATATCTGCCAGCCTTAGGAATTCTCCTAGAAATTGCTTCACAAACCCTTAAATTATCCATTGTGGGGGGCATTTTCCTCTTTATTATAAAAATGAAATAAGGTACTCGGTGGTCAGCAAAGGGTTTGTTTAACTGGGCAGTACTGTAATTAGCAGTGACTCCTCATGCTGGGGTTGGAGTGTGGTTTCTCTTCATCTCTTTTTGCTCCTCAGAGAGGTAGAGTGTAGCCGGCCACTGTCTTCTGTGTGAAGGTCCTGCACATCGTTAGGATTCGGGTGGCAGAGCGCATTAATGGATTGGACCCTCTGTGGACTGTTTAACTGTGTTGTGGCCAAGACAAAAACCTCAAACTCTAGCCCTATGTCACACAAATGCTTGGTACCATTTGATCACAAAAAGGATTAAGCAGGAGAATATATACAGACTAGTATAAATTCTTTACATTTTAAACTGAAATCTAGTGTGTTTTCTTTTAAAGATTGCTCAATTTCTTTTTCATTTGTAACATTATGATAAGAATGGTCCATTCAGAGGGTTAACGTGTAGAATAGCTGAGATAGTGTATGTGAGGACCATTCCCTCTGACACACTTCTCTGAAACTTCCTGAAATTAGTCTACTTCTCACTGATTTTAGAGCTCCTGAACTGGATAGGCACATAGATCTGTGTAAAGTACAGATTACTTTTTCTTTCTACCCATAGCTTTCAACAAGAGGTACCTATAAACCTCAGAAAAGCAACAGGTATCCAGGTCCCATCCATGAAATTTGTCCCACTTTTGAAGCTTCTGATTCAACAGTTTATGGTGGATCATAGGAATCAGCACATTTTTTAAATTCTAACGATTTTAAATATGATATAAATAAAAATAAATATGCTATGACATAAGCCAGAGTTGAGACATTGGTTCATACTATACTTAATCATGTTAGTAATAGTTACATTTATGGAATGATTTTGTGCCACTAATTCACTCAACTAACATTAAGTGCCTGCTCTGCAGTGGTGAGCTAGTTAGGTGCTACTCCTCCTTTCTTACAACGTTTAGTTACTGCATTGCTGGGTGTTTAACACTTAATACGTCTACTGAGCTCCTAATGTTTCCTTCATACTTGTTTAAGCTAGCTCTTCATTTTTTTTCTGATTATATTTATAATTTGCTAGTTGTAATTTACAAACTAGGTGTGGTCTACTGAAAAGAACAATGGCTCAGATTTTTAAATCCTAGATTTGGCTTTTGTGACTCTGAGGCCTTAGTCAAATTATTTCATGTCTCTGAGCCTAGATATCTTCCTTTATTAAAATAAACATAATATTTGTTATCTTGCAGGTTGTTCTGAGAATTTGGTGAAATAAGCCATGTCAAAGAGACTGATACTATGCAGAGCAAATAGTAAAGTCAGTAATGCTCATTTCCTTTTCGTTTTCAGCTTTTGTCTACCAAGTTGCTAGCTAAATCATTAAATTGATTGTCATGTTTTCTCTTTGACTATATAGTTAGGGATACTCTGTGTTTTTGTGTAAATATTTTATAGTTTGGTACATCTTTGAACCAAGCTGAAACTGTTTTCTAATTGACTGTGACTACGTAGCCAGCTTTGAAAACCTGAACTGTTACCAGTTGTCTTCAGTAAACCTTTAATTGGCCTTTATGTTGTACGGAGGATGGAAGTAAGGATTCAAGAACAATTAACATAACCCAGTCTCAGCTCTTCTGAAACTTGTAGCCTCAGATGTCATCTAAACTTTTCTCCATTTATCAAAGAGAGTATAATAGAGAACAGAATCCAGAATCTTGCCAAAGGCAACATGGGAAATCTTTCTTTTGTACCATTAATTTTCAGTTGTGCCACTGTTTCATAGAAAGATTAATTACTTGCCAAGATTTGTGGGTAAATCTTGGTTACTGTCTGTGGGTACCATCTGTGGGTACCATCACTAACGTAGGACTTCTGATGTGAATGGCCCTTTGCCTGGAGCCCCGCTTGCTTAGGCTTTCTTGAGCATGATTGCTATTTAAAAGCTCTGATTACTGCCTCATACGCTTTTCTTTTTTTCTTCCTAGGTCACTAAAATTGTGTCAAATGTTCCCCAGTTGGAGTTTCTAAACCTGAGTTCCAACCCTCTGAATTTATCGGTTTTAGAAAGAACGTGTGCTGGGTCCTTCTCTGGGGTTCGCAAACTTGTTCTCAACAACAGCAAAGCTTCTTGGGAGACCGTCCACACGATACTGCAGGAATTACCCGAGTAAGCCCAGAGAGTGCGATGGAGAGGGCCTGTGTTGCCATCTGTGTTAGTACATAGGATTACTGCTGATCTCCCATCTCAGAAATGCTAGAACTGCAGATTGAAAGGAAAATGAGCTTAGAAAAATGAAGTAATCAGAATGAGGCTCTGAGAGCAATCTGGTAGCTTTTTCATTGTAATACTTGTTCAGTGTTGAATGGTACCAAGACATAGGATATGCCATCCTTTGACTGAAAAATATCCCTGAGAAGCACTTATCATTCCTAGATCAAACCAACCTTTCTCTATTTTAATCTTCTGATTACCTGATTTCAGAATTTTGCCTCAGCCCTTTTCTTTGGTAAGAAAAGGAATCGTAGTATCTCTAAAATATACAAACTCTCAGATGATTAAGTACCTAGCTGGCCTGATGGAAAATGGCAGCTTATTCTTATTCAATAATTGAAGCAAGAAATTACCTTTTTTGTTTGTCAGTTTAGAAATACTTTGTTATGTTTGTTTCTATCTATCTTTGAATATGCACATAAGTGTCCAGAGGAAGTAGTTTAAGGAAATATACGAAGCTGAAGTTTGTCTAAATATGGAAATTATCAAAGCCTTTCAGAATCTGGTCTCACCCCATTTCTTCCATCTTTGTTTCTTACTCTCACTCTAGTGAGATTAGTTTCTTCCTTGCATGCAACATCTAACATGGCCTAGAATGAGCTATTAAACCCCTGTTCCACTTACTAACCAAATGACCTTTGATGAGCTAGTTAACGTCTTTGAGCCCTGTTTCATAGTCTATAAAATGGGCATAATTGTATCTACGTTGCCTAGAATAGAAGAACAGTTTATAAAGCACCTGACACAGGGCCTGACGCAGGGTAGGAATTCAGTAAATGTTAGTTATTATTTCTATTTCTAAACATTTGTTCATGTTGTCTCCTGGATTTTCTGTTATTTCCTCTCAATTTATGCAAGTCTACTCCTCCTTCAGGGCCAGGATTATTGTGACTACAGTTTCAGTTCATTCCTGTATATGAACTACTCTTGTACTTACAGTTTTAGTACTGCTTAATTCAGCATTAGTTATTTAACCACAAAATTAATTTAGTACTGGGTTATTGCCCTGCTGTTTTATGTATCTTAGGTTTGTCTTCCCAGCTATAATGTCAGGAAGACATCCTTCTATTTTCTCTACAAACCCTGTCAGAATCTCACACATAGTAGGCACTTATTTATTTATGGATTGAATAAAAATAGGTGCAAATTAAAAACTTAACCCCTGTGAACAATAAAATATTTTCTTTTCTCTCTGCAGTTTGGAGGAGCTCTTCCTGTGCCTTAATGACTATGAAACAGTGTCTTGTCCTTCAATTTGCTGTCATTCTCTTAAGCTACTGCATATAACAGACAATAACCTCCAAGACTGGACTGAAATACGAAAGTTAGGAGTTATGTTTCCTTCACTGGATACTCTTGTCCTGGCCAACAATCATTTGAATGCTATCGAGGAGCCTGATGATTCATTGGCCAGATTGTTTCCTAATCTACGATCCATCAGCCTCCACAAGTCAGGTGAGGTCCAGGCTTGTGCTCATTCTCCATGCAAATTGATCTGAGCTTATGCATGAAACACAATGTGTCCTCCTTTCAGTCATAGCTCTGCCTTCTTATAGGATGCATTTTCAGTAGTGACATGTAGATGCCTATTGATTTGCTTGATTTAAGGCATTCATTCATTTTCATAAATGCTCTGCTAAATATCAAGGGGCAAAGCATCATATTAGCTATTTTATTTTTTATTTTGTATATAAAAGAGATCATGCTATAAAGGATTGAAGTGAAATTGATGAATTAGGTAGTAAAAGGCAGAGTAAAAAGACTGCAGAGAATTACAAACTAGTCTGTTTTGCCTGGCTTTCTGTTAAGGAATCCCAATTGCTATGCCTTTCAAATGCTCACTTTTCTTTTCCAGTATTTATATATAATTAATAGCCAGTTTGCTGCCATTTGATTGTATGTATCACAGGAATGCATATTTTTGGCCTATTTTGAAATGCTAACTTTATTTTAGAACAGTTTTAGATTCACTGTAAAGTTGAGCAAAAAGTACTGAGAGTTCCCACATACTCTGCCTCACATACCCCAACCTTCCCTCTTGTCAACGTCTGAGCACCAAAATGAGACATTTGTTATTGATACGTCATCATCCAAAGTCCATAGTGTACATTAAGGTTCACTCTTGATGTTCCACATTCTGCAGGTTTGGACAAATGTGTAATAACATGGAGCCACCATTGTATCATACAGAATAGTTTCCCCAGCCTGACAATCCCCTGTGCTCCGCCTGTTCATTCATCCATCCCTCCCCACCCAGTCCCTGGCAACTGCTGATCTTTTTACTGTCTCTCCGTAGTTTTGCCTTTTGTCATATAGTTGTAATTATATGGTATGTAGCCTTTTCATGTTGGCTTCTTACATTCAGTAGTGTGCAGTTAAGTTTCCTCCATGTCTTTTCATGGTTTGGTAGCTCATTCTTTTTTATGCTGAATAATATTCCATTATCTGGATGTACCACAGTTTATTTATCCACCCCTAAACTGAAGGACATCTTGATCTCTTCCAAGTTTGGGCAATTATGAATAAAGCTGCTATAAGCCTCCATGTACAGGTTTTTGTGTGGATGTGAGTTTTCAGCTCATTTGGGTAAATAAATCAAGGAGTGAAGTTGCTGGATGATACAGTGAGAGTATGTTTAATTTTGTGAGAAACTGCCAAACTGGCTTCCAAAGTGGCTGTACCATTTTGCATTCCCACCAGCCATGACTGAGAGTTGTTGTTACCTCCCACCCTGGTAATCATTTGAGGTTGTCAGTGTTTTGGATTTTGGCCATTCTAATAGGTGTGTATTAGTGTCTTGTTTCAATTTGAAATCCCTGATGACACATGATGTTAAACATCTTCTCATGTGTTCACTTGCCATCTGTGCATCTTTTGTGAGATGTCTGATCAGATAGATGTTTGGCCCATTTTTTAATCAAGTTGTTCATTTCCTTGTTGAGTTTTTATGCATTAAATTTTGTATATTTTAGATGATAATCCTTTATTAGATGTGTCTTAACAAATGTATTCTGGCTTTTCTTCTCATTCTCTTGACATTGTATTTCAGCCTATTTCTCAAAACAACCACACAACCAAAAGTAACTCTATAATCTGCAGCTGAAGAAAACATAAGCAGTTTAATTCTCCAGAGAGGTTGTAAGGGTGGGAGTTAAGTTTTAAAAACCAGTATTTTGCTTAAGGAAGCTGTTTATTTCACAACTCGACACCCCTTGAGCTAACCTTATTCCTCCCCCTAGACAGCAATGCCACTCTGAAGGAAAGGGAATGGTCCTGACTTGGGGCCGCGATGCCTCCGAGCCTCATATTGTTGCTCCTCTGCCTTTACCCTTGCTGAAGGCTGTTAAAGATAGGAAGGGACTACGTTGTTCCCTGAAATGGATTTAATATGTTATAAAATTGACTCGCTTCCATATTATAGGAGTATTTTTCCTACCAGTGCCTGGTCTTGACTTGGATGATGCATTTGCTCACAGCCATAGAAAGAATTTCATTTTAGGATTAAACAATCTTAATTTGTTGTTCTTCGATCAGGGTTTGTTTTGTTTTTGTTTGTTTCAATTTTTGAATGTTTTCCCTGTCCCCCAAATGAGGGCAATGTGAAAGAGTGATAATATTTAGTTTTTGGTTCTATTGACCTTGCCCCGTTTTAGAATTTGTTAGGTAAGAATTTGAGTCTAACAGTGTCAGTTCTGATCAGTAGTTATGCTCTATGAGTCTGTATTTGATGAGATTACATCACATCACGTTTCTGGTAATCATGGCATACAACCTGCTTATTGAAACTACCAGTAACCTCCCTTTATAAGCTATTTGGGTAGAGAATCAATTGATGAGTGGATATTGAAGAATAAAAGTCTCTACTTGACCACTGACCCCTGGGATTACAGGAAGAGGAGAGGCTGTAGGGAAGTTTCCATGGTGTTTACCTATATTCCATTCTTTCCTTGGAGAAAGAAAAATATCAGGATATCTAGTTTGTGGCCATTTTAACATTTCTGCTATTAACTGAAGTAATTTTTTTTGCTATGTTTATCTTCTTACTTGTGTACTTTTCAGGGTTTACTTAAACAATATGTTTCTCAAATTAGGTTTGCAGTCCTGGGAAGACATTGACAAACTAAATTCATTCCCCAAACTTGAAGAAGTCAGATTGTTAGGAATTCCTCTTCTGCAGCCATATAGCACGGAGGAGCGAAGGAAATTGGTAATAGCCAGGTCTGTTGTCCTGATTACTCTGGTCTCTTTTTCGGGGCCTTGCTGTTTCATCAAAGGGATGATGCACTGTTTGGGGGAGAATGCACTATAAGTTTATTCCTCTTTGAAAAAGACTGTGGTTGCTTCTGTAACTCCGAAGACTGGAAAGAATACAATAGGGTGAGAAAAACGTATGATGTAATTGACCTGCCAAGATTGCTGAAAAATACCCGTAAAAATACAGCCTATTTTTATACTTTTCGATATTTGCAATATTTGAAAAAATTTTGGGTCACAGAGAAAAGTAGGTATAATGAGTCCTATTTTCATTGCCCTTATTTTTTCTGTTAACATAGTAGACATTTCAAGTGTAAATACCTGAAAATTGGACTGTTTCATTAGTGTAAAACTTGAGAGAGCAGCCTCTGTTTTCTTCTTGAATATAGATTGACTTAAATATAACTAACCCATTGTTATCTTCCTCCTCTGACTTCTGCCTTAGTGTCTCAGTCTCTGCCCCCTATGGACCACTAAAAAATACCCCATTACATTTATTTTGAATGAGATTTTAACAGCAGTGAGATTTGGGCTCAGATATAAAGGGCCATGGAGCTTTGATTTGTTCTCTTTGTGTACTTATACAAAGTGGTTTTGAAAAGGAAACAGTAGGCTTTAAGGTTCCCTAAAGAAGAGTGGTTCTTTAAATAGGGTATTGATCTTTCTGACTTTATTTTCTTTACACAGTTCTTTTGTAATGATAATAAATTAATTCCTGAACTATATAACCAAATTGTAACTGATACCTTGTAGACCTGTGCTGTCCAATATGGTACTAATAGCCATGTGTGACTTTTCAGTGCTTAAATTATGGCTAGTTTGAGTTAAATGTGCTATAAGTGTAAAATAAACCCTGGATTTCAAATACTTTATATTAAAAAAAAGTGAAAATCTCACTAATTATATAAGTATTGATTATAGGCTGACATTAAAATCTGTATAAATTAAGCAAAATAAGTTATTAAAATTAAGTTCACCTGTTTTATTTTACTTTTTAAAATGTAGCTACTATAGGATTTATTTTTATTTTTAAAAATATTTATTGAAATTTTGTTGACATTATATTATATTGGTATCAGGTGTACAACATAGTGATTCAACAGTTACATACATTGTGAAATGCTCACCATGATAAGTATAGTCACCAACCGTCACCATTCAAAGTCACTGCAATATTATTGACTATATTCCCTATACTGTACTTTTCATCCCTGTGACTTATTTATTTTATAATTGGAAGTTTCTCCCTCTAGACCCTTCACCTATTTTGCCCTTTCCCTCACTTACCTCTACTGTGGTAACCATCAGTTTGTTCTCTATTTATGAGTCTCTGTTTTGTTTGTTCGTTTATTTTATTTTTTAGATTCCACATATAAGTGAAATCATTCGGTATTTGTCTTTCGCTGTCTTAGTTCACCTATCATAACTCCCTTAGGTCCCATCCATGTTTTTGCAAATGACAAGATTTCACTCCTTTTTATGGCTGAATAATACATATGTACCATATCTTCTTTATCCATGAACACTTGTTTTCATGTTGACTATTTTAAATAATGCTGCAATAAACATAGGGGTGCATATATCTTTTCAAATTAGTGATTTGGGTTTTTTTGGGGGGAGGGTAAGTATCCAGCAGTGGAATTACTGGGTTGTATATTTCTATTTTTAATTTTTTGAGGAAACTCCATACTGTTTTCCATAGTGGCTGCACCAGTTTGCATTCCCATCAACAATGCACAAGAGTTTCCTATTCTCCACATTCTTACCCACACTTGGTATTTCTTGCTTTTATGATACTAGTGATTCTGAGGTGTATTGATCATTGAGGCTTTGATTTGTATTTGATGATTAGTGATGTGGAGCTTCTTTTCATGTGTCTGTCAGCCATCTGTATGTCTTCTTTGGAAAAATGTCTATCAGGTCCTCTGCCCATTTTTTAATAAGATTATTTGTTTTCTTGGTGTTGAGTTACATGAGTTCTTTTTATATTTTGGATATTAGCCCCTTATTGAATATACCATTTGCCAATATAGTTTCCCATGCAGTAGGTTGCCTTTTTGTTTTGTTGATGGTTTCCTTCACTCTGCAGAAGCTTTTTAGTTTGATGTCCCACTTGCTTAATTTTGCTTTTGTTTTCCTTGCCTGAGGAGACAGATACAGAAAATTGCTAAGGCTGATGTCTAGGAGTTTACTGGCTGTGCTTTTTTTTTTTCAGGAGTTTTATGATTTCAGGTGTGACATTTAGGTCTTAATCCATTGTCAGTTTATTTTTGTGTGTGGTGTAAGAAAAGTGGTCCAGTTTCATACTTTTACATGTAGCTGTCCAGTTGTCCCAGCATCATTTATTGAAGAGACTGTTCTTTCCCGTGTATATTCTTACCCGCTTTGTTATAGATTAATTGACCATGTAAGTAACAGTTTATTCTGGATTCTCTGTTCTGTTCCATTGATCTGTATGTCTGTTTTTGTGTTCTGATTACTATTAAAGTATGTTTTGAAATCAAGAGCATGGTACCTCCATCTTTGTTCTTCTCTCTCTCAAGATAGCTTTGGCTATTTGAGATCTTTTGTGGTTCCATACAAATTTTACGATTATTTGTTCTGGTCTGTGAAAAAATGCTATTAGTATGAGAATTTCAAATTACATATGTGGTTTGCATTATATTGAAGTTGGGCAGTGCTGCCTAGAATCCTATTTTGAAAGGTGAGGTATAAGGTAAAAGGTCAGTGTTACACCTAAAAATGAAACTGTAGATATTTTTTATCCTTTTCTTTTATACCACTTTAGTTCATGTCACTAGTTGTACACAAGCAGAGCCACATTAAATGTGCTCTTTCAAGAGAATTAAGACTGGGTCCTCAAACCAATAATTTTATTTCTAAAGCTGTATCTTTTTAGTATCTTTAAATGTCATTTTTGGGTTTTTACTTACAGATTGCCATCAGTTTCCAAACTCAATGGCAGCGTTGTTACTGATGGTGAGCGAGAAGATTCTGAGAGATTTTTTATTCGTTACTATGTGGATGTTCCACAGGACGGAGTGCCATTCAGGTAAAATCTCTTGTCAGTTTAGCAACACTTTAGCAAGGCTTGAGGCAATTTAAGATCTATTGTTTTAGTGCATCTAATAATTTGTTATTGGACCCTCTTAGAGGACTTTGATGATAGATTTTTTTAAAAAAGAAAGAAATACAAAAGCAAACCTATTTTATCTCATTTTCCACAGTGTATTTCTTCTAGCCTTGCGTTTGTATTAAGAATGGTTGGGTAAGTATTTGGCTGCTGTAGTGATTCCCACCCCATACTCCATATCATCGGTTCCTCTGTGACCCTCTTCTTCAGGAGCACATTTTCACCTCCCTCAACATCGGTGTCTTCCTTCACATTGCATCTGCATTCAGGATATACAAAGTTCTGCACTTTGGAAGATTGGGCAAATGTGCATCAGTTCTGTAGAGTATGAGAAAAAAAACTGGAAAACAGACTCTGAGGACCTACTAGAGGAATTAGGATGGTTAATTAAGATGGTTAAGTCTAGAGAGAGATGCTGAAAGCTACACCAGCAATTACCTTGAAGTATGTGAAGAGTTAATATACGTGGTTTGGTGGTAAATGCCCTTTCATATTCTCTAAATATCAAAGGAAATGTAGCAAGTGTGACATAGGTAAACATATAAGAAAAAAAAAACCCTAAAACAGATTTCTAGGTGTTGGTAACTGGAATCAGTTACCAAAAAAAGTTAAATGCTTTCTTTAAGGACTTTAAAAATAATATGAAATCCCATTTGACAGGAAGAGTTTCAGACAAACAAGCTGCAAGTTAGGACTGAATGTGAGTCAGTCACTTGGTGTTTCTGGTTACAAATTTCTGTGATTCCAGTTCATTCTTACTGAACTACCTAGTTTCTCTCAAAGCTCTCTATTAATATTTATGGACTTTAAGGGAGTTGGCATTCTGTAAGGTTCAACCAGTGCTGTATGAAAAGGTTTTGTTGTATTAGTAGTAGTATTTTAAAGCTTAAGCTTTTAAAAAATATTAGACAAATTAAGTAAGGGTTTTGAAGATAGCCTTTTAAAATTACTTGAGAACTGTCAAGTAGGGAGAAATAGATTCTCACTGTGCCTTTTAACACCACCCAGAAATACTAAGTTAAACAGCATGAAAATTTTCTTTAGGTAAAAATATGGTCTTATATCTGTAGTTTCGTTTGATTCAGTCTAACATTAATGGAAGAAGCAAATACTCTGGCTTTGAGCATAAGTCTGTCATTATAGTTCACTTAACTTCCAGTGTGCTATGAGAATCATGTGGTGTATTTATGCAGTAAATTGTTTTCTGTCCCTGATAGCAAAATTATCCTAAAGTACATGATGCCTCTGTCCTAGTTGATGTTCTTGAATTTGAGGTCATAGAAATCATCTTCAATTGGGGGAGAATTTATCAGAAGGATACTGAGATACTAAGAAACTAAAGAATTGTTAGGCAGGCCAAAGAACCAGACAGAAACCAAGGAAAGCAAGGGCCGCCAAGGCTTCCACTCGTGGCTGGCTTCATAGGTCTTTCCTGGCACTGTGATCGTTGGACACCACAGTGCTAGACATTGCCACTGCCGCTGGACACTGGCGACTGTGTCATGGACTTTTGATTCCACATAACTGTGGAAAATAGTCTCTCCTTGACCTTTGTCTCAGTTCCTAAGGTCAGAAATCTACAACTAACTGATTGATTAGCTGTTTAGGGCCTATGCTCACACTTTGTCTCCCAAGAGATAGGGCAAGAGATTGTCTCTCCAGTTTGACTTCTGGATTGACATGTAGAATCTCGTTTCTCCTGATCTTGGGACTTTTTCCCCAAATAGGAACAATTCAGCAAAAAGAACATCTCCTACAATCTGCCATTTTGACTATGTAACATCTATATATACACCTTTTCCCTGTAGTCATATATATCAAAAAAGTTCTCTTACCTGTCCTAATATATTCCTTGTACAAATGAAAACACATTTCTCTCTCCTTGAAATGTGATAACCTATTTATACCAATCCTAAAGGCTGTGACTGATTAGCCACTGCAGAGGGTTCCTGCCGGCAAGCTGCTTTAATTCCCACTCTGGCCTCGCTGCCTGTTCATGTAATTGTGCCTACTTCCCATGCACTGGTGGTTAGATGGCACTGCTTGGTCTCTTCTATCATTCTTGAAATTTTATTGGAAAACTGATTTAAGTGCATCCGACCAGCATCCCCGGCCTATAAAATATTTTTTCAAAGGTGTGAGTAAGTGCTCTACTCACTAACATATTTTTCAAGGTCTTGGAAAAGAAAGGGCCTCTGGTTCCTCTTAGGATCTGTGCACTGAGAATGGGTGAACAGGTAATGTGGGTGACAGTAATTTCCATCATTTCTGTGTACTGAAGTTTTTAATGTCCCAAGTTACATTATCTAATTTGGAGAATTTGAACGTCCTTTAGCAGAGACCACCATTGGGTCCAAATTTCCAATCAGCCAACTAAAGAAAATTTAGAACCATTCCCAGCCCCTGAAGATGTAAACTTTTGAATTTAGAATTTCTGGTAATATAACTATATCAGTAAAAATTAGCTAAATATAAAATTACTTCTCCTTCTTTGGTCAACACTCATGATCTATTCCTGTACTAATTTTCTATATTTTTATTCATATAAATGACCAAAATCTTACAGTTAGTTTGATGTTTTTGTCATTAACCCCACAGAGCATGCTGTGATCTAATGGTAGTGGAGTAGAGTGTATATGTCGATGTGGCGAATGGGGAATCAGTTTACTCTTGCAAGGTAATTACCTAATGCAGGGAGATTTTACTGCCTTTTCAGACACAAGAGGAACAGTCTCATTAGACCCAGCTAGCAAGGGACCCAGTGAGGATTAGGGATTCCGGATATTCTCAAATCCTCAGAATCCTCCCATATACCTCCATTCCAACTCATTCTTTCTCTCTGTCTCTCTTTTTTTAGTCAGTGTGTCAACTTGCACATAATCGTCATAATTTGGATGCAAATTTAACTGACCTGTGATTCAACAACCTCAAACCTTGTACATTTGTTTTTATAGCTACCTTGACTCTATCCTTACAAAGAGGAAAGACCCTTTTTTTTTTCCTTTTTTTTTTTTTATTGAAGGGTAGTTGACACACAGTATTACATTAGTTTCAGGTGTACAACACAGTGATTCAACATTTATATACATGATAATTCTAGCTACCAGCTATCACCATACGAAGTTGTTATAATATTCTGACTATATTCCTTATGCTATACATTATATCCCAGTTACTTATTTATTTTACAATTGGAAGTGTGTCCTTTTTGTTTTTTTTTTGAGAGGGCATCTCTCATATTCATTGATCAAATGGTTGTTAACAACAATAAAATTCTGTATAGGGGAGTCAGTGCTCAATGCACAATCATTAATACACCCCAAGCCTAATTTTCGTCAGTCTCCAGTCTTCTGAAGCATAATGAACAAGTTCTTACATGGAGAACAAATTCTTACATACTGAATAAGTTACATAAAAGACCCTTTTCTTAAAAGTACCTGGGTTTCACTCTGTGCCTTGAGCCTAGTTTATAGGGATTCAACATTAATATTCTCGTTGTTTAAGGTATCTTTAGCCCTTAGCATAGCAGATGCTCTACCTCCAAGTCTTGAATTCTTCACACTCTTGGCATTTTTTTTGCTCTTAATAGCACTCTCCCAGTCACCTAGAACATTCCATGTGACCACGATTGATAATTAGTTATTTCACTACTTCATGTCAAAAACTTGCAGAATTCTTCCCATGAACACTAATATGATTTCACCCCCCTACTAGGCCAGAAACCAATCCAAAAATGCCCTTTAATTTACCAGGACTAGGACTGGTAATCTCTCTGACACCAGTTTCTTAGTATACACCACAGAAATTAACTCTGGCCAACATAAAAGTAGGATAGGAATTTAGTAAAAGAATAATGAATCCTGTATAGCTCACAGAATTCACAAGAAGATTAGAAAACTAGGTTTCGGCAGGACTAATGGGAAGCAAGACATAACAAGGTTTCTAATATCATTGTACATTCAATGTGCTTTTGACCCGGTTACTGGCAAGTCATCAGCAAGCTGCTATTCATTGCCCTCAGACAGTTACAGTCATGCCTTTGAACTCTTGACTGTTCTGTATCTGCTATGAATAGGGTCTGTTAGATCTTGTATCTTTGCATTACTTCGTAAGATTTAAAATTCCAGTTACAGTTAAATAGGTTTATGTCACCTTCCCATGTTCTAGATTTCAGGAAATGGAGAAAGAGAAAATTTACTCTTCTTTAGCTTCTGTAGTGAGAAGTGGATCCTGCCTTTCATCTGTCATAGGTTTCCCTCGAATCAGAACAGCATTCAAATGCTGGACAAAGTTGACATATTTCCACAATAGTACTTGTTCCCTAGAAGTTTTTCTTATAAGTCCCCTAGTGCAGTTATTCATTTATTCAACAAATATTTTTGAGCCATTGTGATGTGTTAGGGACTGTGTTCAGCACTTAAAAAAAGAACTGTAACAGTACTCATACTGATAGCAAGATGGAATGGCAAATAAGCAGAGGAATTTGTGTTAAAATGCATTTATTATGAATTAAGAACAATGATATATATATATCCCGGTATTAGTACTAAACTTATCATCTCTTTGCCTTCCAAATTATATGCATAGTCTCTCCCTAAAATATCAATGAAGAATGACTGACACCATGTACAGTTAGTGAAAGGTGAAATTCTGACCCTGGATAATTCATGTTTCGTATAGAGCCACATTTGAGCTTTAGTTTCCAGGTAGGGTGGAGGTGTCCACTTACTTTGGAGAACACATTTCTGTTCATTTGTCCATGGGTTTTTAAAAGTCAGTGTTCAGCTTGATTTTGCTGTAAATTCTAACTTCTGCAGAACCCTTCCCCAGTTGGGTTCCCTGAGATTTCCCTTCTCCTTTCATTTCCTTGTCTTGTGTCAATCAACATGAAATACTTCTCCTCAACTTAGGATAAGCAG